ACTAAAGCTAGTATAGGAATTATCATAGATAAAATTAGCAACGGGAGTTCAAATCACCGAGTAAAATGCGAATAATTCCAAAACACGGCTTATGTAACAGGTAATCGCGTAAATTCAAAAAAAAAACCTTAAAGTAATTTGTACTGTATTTCATGCATGTGGTAAACACTCCAAGTTGTTAATTTATATAAATAAACACGATCTGTGATATCGCTGATAGCTATTAATTTTAGAGGAACTGCTAGAGGAAAACAAATCCTTCTCTCCTTCCTTCCAGTGCTGAGGATCGTGACTCATTTCGTATTGTCTTGGTGGAGCGTCAGCTTTGCGGTGTGTTGCTAGTAAAAATATTTTAACTCGGCTCGGGCCGGCACGGTATTATTATCACCGGTTTGGGATGCCGCCAAACTCTTAGGGCGCTTTAGCGGACGCTCCATGGAGTGACTAGGCTTAAGGGGACCTCGGCTTGGGCTGTCACTCTAAACGCGTTTAGTATTCCGATTCGAGGGTGCCCAAGAGGGCCGGACCTCGCCTCGATCGGTAGCTAGTATCTGACTGGGAGAATTTCTAGATCTAACATTACTACTTCGACGAGACTTTTGATAGATCTCAATGGCCTTCAAGGCTTTGAACTCTCTTAGACAATAACAGATTTATTAAATTTTAAGAAAGTCATCACAGGTGATTGGGAAATGAGAAGTAATCGCCCCATGATGGCAATTAACAATGGAACCATAACATTTGTGTTTACGATTTATCAATTAAAAATGACGCACAAATTTCAGAGCTCAAAACAAGGATTTTCCTCTCCTGGAGACCGGTTAAATTGCTTGAATTTTTTTTAACATTACCACAATTTTATTACCACCACTGCACGGATGGCACGATGGTTTGGGTGGTTATGTGAAAAATTTGTGTTTATAATAAATATTGTATAAGGCCAGGGTTATATAAACTGAGTGTACTGTAACCTCGCGATATTTACTACCAAGCGCGGAAGTAATCAAAATAGAAGATTTTTGTCGAGCTTTCACAAAACAATGTAGCTATCTTCAACATGAAATAGGTTGGCCTCGATTGATCATGGGTACGACTTCCTTATGGCACAAACATGTGTGTGACCGACAGACAATTACCAAATACCAGTTTGTCCAGGTTCAATTTGTCGTTAAAGAAAAAATTATCCTAGTGATAGGGTTGCTTTTATTTCTTTTACATATAAACACAAAATCCTTCCAACCAGAGAGCAAGATAGATACGAATTTTCACCTTCCTCGATCTTTGCGTATATTTTTACAGATATACTTGTGATAAATTAATCACTTAAAAAATTTTTCAGTCTATTTATATCAATTGTTTCTGAATATTTGAACTGGAAAGAGTTCCAAAGAAAATTTTGATATTATTCAATGGTTTATGAGCACTGAATGTAACAACTACTTTAAAGCTCTCTCTGAACTAAATAAAAGAATTTTACAATTTCTCTACCATATACGAAGGGAAATTTTAGAAAAAGTAGCATTTCGACATTGTCTTGTCATCAGTTTTTTGTCTTTTTGACAAAAAGATGCTCTAATTGCTTTGTATGGAAATTTGTGGATTTTTTGTTGCATTTGTACAACTTATTTTTTTAAATATTTTCTTCCTTGCATGACATTTTTATAGTAGGTTAATATTAAGTAATGTGAAGTATCTTAAGTGCAGAGAGTATCACTAAAAATTAAGTTAGTTATATTATTATAAATGACATTAAGATAGTCAGAGGAAAACTTTCTATAAAGAAAACAATGGAATTAAAAATACAACAGTGCTAAATTTCAATTTCGTATATTGCTTTGTCAATGTAAGGAGTGATTTTTACCATATCGGTGACACTATTGTAAATAACAGTACCTACGTAGATAGTGGTGTGTACTAACATTGTAGTCATGGTTTACTTTCATGTGTTTTCTTTGTGTTATTATTTATATGTATATTTTTGACATCTTTCTGTGCACCTACCTAATAGTCTGTACCATCCCAAGGTTGAGTGAGAGATAACGCCTTTCGTATTAAGTCCTTTGTACTATATGTGCATGAAGAATAAATATATGAATATACGAAAATTTTAAATTCGTAGTGCGTAGATTAACTTGTCCAAATCCAACTAAGCTCGAGATAAATATTACACAGACGTTAAATTTAAGATTTTTGTAGATAAATGAACTTTCGGCGCTGCAGGATTCGAACCTTCTGGTTAAGCGCTCAGACGCTTTACCAACTAAGCTAAGCAGCCAATGACCTCACGGCGCGAAAATCTTGACATCTTTCTACGTTCTTTCTATTTCATTTTAGCAATGCTTGGCAGTGTGCATCCTGTGCAGCCTGTGCAGCCTACAACGTCCTAAAAATAACATTCAACGATGAATATATGTAACGAGAGATGTCGCCATTGCTCTTAACTCAAACTCTCATAGCGTCAATCAAAATTCAGAAATAGTAGTTAACAATAAATACTTACTGACCTATTGTCTACTACAACAATAACACTTAATCTTAAGTCTTTTCCAAGTTCATGTGAACGTCAAAACTTACCGCCGTATGATTAGATCTTTTCATAAAACAATCGGCCCAAAACAACGATTTTGGCATTACATTAATGGAGTTTTTAAATTCTGCCATGATTCGTTATAAATTTAAATTATTTTATAAGATTCGTTATAAGTTAAAACATTGGCACAGTATTTTTAATTAAGTATCAAAATTTAGTTATGTTAAATGTATACAGAGGTACTATTAGCATTACTCTCGGACACTATTAAAATTAATAAGCAGGAGTTTAGTGAGTCAGCTTTCTAGTAAGCGGTCATCGTTTTCTAGGCTCTAGTCTACTCTTAGTTATAGGTTTCGCTTTTGCGTGTCTCTACGGCCTAGATAAGAAAATTACGACCGTTAAATGTCGTCTCAAAACTTGGATTCCTGTTCCAATTTCAAATTTCCAATTCTAGGTAACTTAGACCTTGTTTGTTATTTCTTGTACTTATGTGAATACTTTTTTTTGTATAAAATTTCATAACGTATTGTATTGCCTTTAATATTGTATTTTTTTAATTTCCGTCGCTTAAATACAATTGAAATTAGCCTCGATAAAAGTGTTTCACTAAATAATTAATGTTGATAAAATTTAAAGTAACAGCCTAAAAAAAAGTTAGAAAAAATAAAAAGAAAACCTGTATATTCCAACGCTGGCCAAAGGCAAAACCCTTTACTCTATTTGGGCATAGTACATCTTAGGACCCAACTGCAGGTTGACGGACTTCATCAGCCGGGTCAGCACAACATGTGAATCATGTTATAAGTGGTTTTCGCTAGATTTTTTACGACCAGCTGCCTCCCTGACGTCAACCTTCCTTGGGAAGAAACACCCTGATCCGGAGCAATTATCTGTGGGACTGCGCCACTGAGTCAATCAATTGGCGGACTTCGCATATCTTCTAATTATTTTTTTTATTATTATTATTTTGAAAATATGCAGATTTCCCGATGTTTTCTTTGTACACCAGCATCATCCCGTGTGATTGAGTACAACATCTCGCATATATCTTCCGTATTTGCGAGACGTGCTATAGAGCATGACTCGCAAAAACGGGCTGAACGGTTTGTGAGAGTTAATAAATGTTTGGAAGAAGCAACAACTCTAATTCTTTTTCCCAGCAAATTTAGAAAACCATTAATTTTAATTATTTATAGAATTTAAGTATTCTACGCCTCTATATGTTTTAAGTTCCCAGAGATTTTAAAACTTTATGACACTCAAGTTCACTGAACGGTGTTTCATGTCCTAATGTCAAAGTTGACCCGGTCTACTGTCAGCTTTTCGATCATTTGATTTTTTTCAAGTTTTGAGGCGTTGTTGTGCTTGGATTTAATTCTATCAAATCACCTCAAGCTTGACTTAAGCGAAGTCCTTGTTCTGAAAATCTGAAATGCATTTTTCACCAAAAACGTTTTGATATTATTGATCCTATGTTTTTTTATTTTAAAGGTTTCTTGCCGTCTGTTTACAAAGCTTCAAATCTCCTCTCTCTTTCTAAATAATTAATTAAAATCCCTACAAACCTTGGATACATTCCACCAATACTGGCAACAAGAAAAAAGTTTCCCGTGTCCCCAAAAATTTAGAATAGAGTATAATCTGTGACCTAGGTACTGTGCATTCAAACAATGACGTTCACTAACGATGGAAAAAGAAGTAATGTCAAAAATATGCTGTTGACATTTTCTATTAAGAATTATGAGAAGCATTCGAAGTTGGTAATAGATAAATAAGTGCGGGCGTGTTAATCGGTAAAGGGCGTAACTGTAGCGGTGATGGTTACTGTGGTCACGGTCTGCTGCATTCAGCTGCGTCACCACCTGCCTCCAAATAATAGATATGTAAGGTTAAAAAATTAAAATCTCGCCCCTATTGACGTAATTTATAGTGAAGCTGTCCTTCACGCTATAGGGTGTGGGTTCGATCTCTACCACTGAAAAAATACTGTGTGATGAGCGTAGTGTTTTTCCTTAATAGGTTGTATGGATTTATTTACAAAGAAAAGTATGTTTAAGAATGTTCATCAGTAAACTAGTACTAGACTAGATAACGTGGTGTAGTAGTGTGTAAAAAAATATTCTACAAATGTTAAGAACGATTTAACAAATACCAAAGAATGCAACGAAAGTAAAAATCAATTCACGTCGGGCGATGACTGACTTTCTAAACTGTTTTTTCAATTACAAATCAAATCGATAGTCCGAATTAACTCTGACAATAACAGGCAGTCCTTTTGTGTGCGTTATCTTATCGTGCAATCGGTCTTCGGCCGATCTCGATGGTCAGATTGCGCGGCGCGGTGGCCGTCTGCCTACCCCGTCAGTCCGCCTGAGCGGTTTCTCCGCGCGAATGTTGGGACCCCATTCCCGCTGATCCGGCGCTAATCGGCGAATCGCGAGGCGGATCGCTGTGAGAACGGCAGGGTATGGCAGGTGGCGGTGGTAACTGTTCCCGCGAGGCGGCCGCAGCGGCCGCGCCACCGCAGTCCCATCCGCAGACACCGAAGGCGCACCACGCTCACAACGGAAGCACCGCGCAACACTACTACCGCAACTTACGCGACATAATCGTCGCAAGCGAATGTCGCGAGCTTTCCTACTCTGTGCATGTGCCTCCTCGTTTGTGACGATTGTTTACAGTACTACACAAACTACGCGGTAGTTTTTTTTGTGGCAGCATCAGTAAGGTAATCGGGGCAGTTAGCTTTAACGGTCGGCTCCGCGCTCAAGTGTGGCAGTCCGCGAGCATGACGAGCGCCGTGAACTGCGCTCTCGTGCTGCTCTTGCTGGTATGTTTTCTTGAATATTTACGTAAACCGTTCGCATTAGTTGATCCCTCTTGTTAATCTCAGTTTAAGTAATACGAAAGTCAACTTAATAATTTTGTGATGTAATTTAAACTTATTATTTATATTTAGAGTTATGTTCATATTATTATATGTTCATATTTATATTTATATATAGGATGAATATTATTAAAATTCTGTTTTATTAAAATAAAACACGTATATTGCAGTATATTGCATTATCCGATGAAAATCATATTGAATGTTTAGTAAATAATATGTAATAATAAATATGTTTCATAAGAAATTATCAGACGATAAATAATATGACATAAATGTGAAGCGATATAAAATTTTAGCGCCATAAAATGTACGGCGAACAAATTAGTCTCACATTAGTCTTAATATCTAGTCGGTCACCGTCGAAGTAAAAGTAGTACCTGTTCAATTCATAAATTGCATTCCGAAATTGAAGCGCGAGCATTGTGAGCTCGTGATCGAAGCCATTTACAATATTAAATTTCACGCTCGGCAGATTTGTGTTAGCCTCGCAAAAAGCTCGGAGACGAGCGACTTTAAAAACACGTTAAATCTGACACACAATAGTTATAAAAAGCGTCGTTTGTGCTAAAAATTATTGAATTATAGATGTGAAGATTAAGGCAGAACTTACTGCCAACCTTCACTAGTTGGAGAGATGATTGACGCCACTGCGACACTTCAACCGGCTTCTAAACTTACGTTCAATTCGATATGTGGTTCAGGAATCGCGTACATTCCTTTCTATCATGTTTTATGTCGGAAGCAAGCTGTCGTAATTAATCACTCGTCTGTCGTAAGAAGATTCGATGTCATTACGCCGCGTGCGAGTTTACCCGCTGTCCGCAAATCGTAACGCGCGTCCTTATTAACGCAAGCACCCGACCGGGAACCGATTCAGATGATGCGCTTAGTATGAACTTGCGGTTTTATTGACCGATACGCAATAAATTGCCACCAATCGACGATTAATCGGCCGACGTATCGACACCGGGCTTAACGAGCCGTGCGTGCCGCGCCGCACGCGCCCTCCGCGCCTTCGTTAGCATACGATGGAAACGAAAAGCGTCCATACTATTCAAAGCTTACAGCGCGCGTTTGCGTTACCTCACAATCCCTCAGATTCTCTTGTACGTTGCAATTGATTCGTTTACTGTTATCGCCGATTTCGTCGAATCGGAATCGCGAGTTTGATGTAACGTTTTAGTTACGCTCCAACGGGTAGACAATTAAAGTATTTGGGATAAATGCTTCTAGAGTAAGTCGAGCTTAGCCAATGCTTAATTGCTCCAGACGTTAGTTAATCAGAACACAACATAGAATATATAGATATGTCTTTTTTATTCTATGTCGATAAAAAAACTCCTTTTAATATCAAAGGTAGGTAAATTTGACATAAATATAAAATGTACCTCAAGGAGTCCAATATGATTTAACATGATTTATGACTTAACTTTATTATATCAAAGTATTTTTATTTTAAAATTTATAATTTTTGAGAATGTTTCATTTCGGTCAGTCTTCACCGAAGTTGAAGAGGCACAGAGATACATTCATAGTCTTGCTATTTATCAGATTCGATAGAAATTATGCTATGAAACGAGAGAAAAAGATGCTTTAAGAATTAGTTTGATATGTCTGTTCGGTAGACCTAAGTTTATAGCTATCAAGATTTATACCAACTTTTTTACTTATACAATTTTGTAATAATTGCTATGGTACTCTCGTAAGTTAGATCTTAAATGTTAAAAAAAGTAAACTATTTCCGCAACGTCTCTATTTGAGAGATGAACGGAACGGTCGCTGCGTTCATCGGTCCGTGATGTTCCGAGTTAGAAATGGAATTCTTAATTTTTATGGTGCCTCAATTACCTCTTGCCGTATTAAGATAACTCGCCCAGTTATTAAAAGCGATAATAGAAGATTACACAGTTATATACTTTTAAATTGTGCGGTTAAATACGGACATGAGTGCAGTTTGTTGAAGAAATAAATGAAAATAATAAAATAATTGAGGTAATTTAATCTGCAAGTATCAGTGATAAGATTTACGGACTACCACTGAAGGACCTACATACTACTATTCAAACTTGGTAACATATCTTTACCTCATCTGCCGTTTATATCCTGAGCGGCGCGGCGGTGATCACTTGCGTTGTGAGCCATTTGCGTCGTTTTTTTATACAAAAAAGTTGAATTAAATTGTCTTACCTTGTTTCACGTAACGTGGTAACGTTCTAAGTGACTATTTCAAAATGTTGAGCATATGATAGTATCTCACTCCTACAATGTAGCGTTTATCATAACAGGCCAAGTAATTGATAACATCACTTCCGCGCCCAGTTTTGCAATTATTTTATAGGTTATAATGATGGATCTATTCGTATCACGTTAGACCTAGTTTTAGATTTATACATTTAAATGTTTGGGTATTAGGGCATAGTCCACGACGTGACCCCACTTGATTGCATTGGCCCATCAGTGCCCCATTGGCACAGATTTCACACACATATTCCAAACATATTGTTTGTTATTTTTTCTAAATACTTTCCTTCACTGCTGAGCACTTCAGCACTTAAAATTGTATTTATCAATTTCATTGGTCCCGGCATCGGGAGGCAAGTCAGGTTGCTGGATAATAAATTATAAGCGAGCGCCTGGACACTGAGCTATCACGGCTCATTGAACAATCCTTTTATTAAAAGTTTGATCATTGCTTGGCTTGCTTGCTTGAATAAATCCAACCGTTGACAAGTCGCGATGTAGACGTCAATAGTAAACATTCGAAATACCTTCATTTCTTGACAGCTTAACATAAAAAACAATAACGCTGTATGCAAAATCAGTTTAGTTCGATCCAAACTTTTTAAGTACTATGAAACGAATATAATCGATTTAGCATCAAGTCAACAACTCTACGTGTGGTTTAAAGTTTGCTCACAATTTAAGTACCTCCTACTGATTTAACCGCCTCATTGTCATTGGTTAAAAAAACTTTATTAGTTTCAATTTACTATTAACTGCTTACTATGGGTTTCAATGCGTTGGGAATGGATTTGAAAAAGATGGTGCATTAAGTTTTTATTTTTATGTGAGAAGGTGGTTCACATGATGTTAACCGTCGTGATAACCGTCGTCCAAGGAAATTTGCAACTCCCGTAGGGTTGCAGATGACTTGTCACCTATTCATGAAGTGGGCGTCGACTACCTCACTCGACAAGAAAACCGAAACGCAGAAGTATAACTTCACTTGCACTTCACACCGGTTTTATGTGATATCGTGGTATTTCCCCGACGGACCTGCCCATTCGTGCAACAGCCAAGACTGTTGCGCACGTGCCCATTCGTGCAACAGAGAAGACTGTTGCGTGGCCCTACCGGAGTAGAAAATTAAAATTGATTTTAACTAATGCTAATAATTCAAAATAGATAGATGTTTGTTATTCGCGCTAAAAGCATGTAGAGATACACTTAATAGTACAGTTGGAACAAAAAAGACAATATTAATAATTTCGTTGAAGAACAGTTCATACCTACATCGTTGACTTAAATGTATAAAAAAAGATAGGAGAGCAGGAGTGAACTGAAGCCTTTATTTCCAATAACATGCATTACTACTTTCAAATATTTGTATTGGTAATTAGGTTATTTATTTTTTATTTATACTTTTCGCTGATAGTAACGATAATGAAGTCAGACTACAGACAAAAGTAAGGTTTAATTTTGCAGAAATTTTACTTTAATTTCGTTTTATTTCACAATTATTTATTTGAAATGATCCCGTATTCGAATGATTTCACGCCCAATAATCAGAGTAACAACATTTTAGTCCAAGAAACCGTTTACCCACCGGTGTTAAATTTGCATACAAGCATTGTGAATCAACGCCAGATCGTCCGTTTTGCATGACATGCTACGGTCAACTAAATTACCTCGGAAGTAAAATTTCGAAATATTCACTTATCACAAGGAAGTGGCCGAGTGTTTAGCATATATGTGTATAAGGCCTACAAATTTAATTGAAATTCAAAAAGGTACTGTATATGATTATATTAATGCACATTTTGAATTCGAATCTATCAATTCTGAAATAAAACATTATTTAATATTAAATTTTAAAACACACATAAAACTACAAGATTCCTTAACATTACTAGATCAGTAAAAATGATCAGTTATCTAGTACCCATAGTAAAAGTGATGCTTAGTTTGGAACTAAAAGACGTTTGGAGCACTCATTGATATTGATTTTAAAAACATTTAAAATAGCAAACTTCATTACTAAGTCCATAAAATCGTTACAGTTACCTATGCCGAAGGTTGTTAGGGAAATTCATTGATACATTGTTTGTAGAGGTCGTTGAAAGACACGAAGTAGAAAATAATGCCAGCCAACGTGACAACTCGGGCACAAAGTACAAGCAAATTTGCCACAAACATTTATTCATCGTCTCTAATTGAAAATTATAAAATATCCACAGCATATCAATAATAAAATATGATAATATCAATAATATATACTTTCAATTCCAAGCCTTATAAAATATACAATTAAAACCCGGAAGTTAAATTTACAAGCCAAATGTATAACAACCAAGGAATTGTTTTTAATTAGTCTAACAACCAAGATATTGTGGTTAACATGGTGAACCTTAATATGTTTTACTGACCTCACGTTTATGACTACATTTAAGAAACTGCGGTTTATTTTACTTAATGAGTATCATCAACCCACCTTTCGCGTTATGTACAACATTCAAACTAAATGATGTCGTTCGGATAAATTTGAGCATTTTTCTTAAAATAGGAATAACATCTATAAAATATATAAAACAGATTATTACGAAAATCTTAAGAAAATTATTACCAACCGTCTAGGAAGGAAATGAAAATGAAATGCAATTCTATCGCATACTATAAAGTTTCAATCATCACGTCCAACATTGTTTTAGATAATTTATGTTAATAAAAAAGTAATGGCAGAGTAAATGTGTAATGAGCAGGCTTACCGGGCCCGTAATTGCAGCCATATTGCGGTTGACTCTAGAAACGAAACAATAGGGTTGATTAAAATTATCAAAAATTCAACGGAGAGTAATGATAAGGCCAACTCGAATTAGGTTATTTTATTATTTCCTTCTGTTTTATGCCTCTGCTTTAATTTGTATCAGATATTGAATATGTTTAATATTGTTTGAGTCATAGTAAGTAGTTTTACTTTTTGCAATCTATTTTTTACAGAAATAACAACCACTTGCTCAGGTTGCTTGAGAAATATTTGTATGCAGTTTGTTGCATTTCATACATTACACAAGTATTTACCTGAATCATGTAAATAAATTTCATTTTATAGTCTAAAATTTTTTACAAACTCGACCCTCATTAATATATCTGTTATGATAATGTATTTTAGAAACTAGACTGTGATAATGTATTTTCGCTCCATAGCGGTATCGTCTCCGCGAATAAGATGAATGTGTTATGATAAAAAGCATTATAACTTTTACGAAAAGTAGAATAACCAAAATGCGCACCGGCTGTATCTTTCCAGCCAACTACTACAGTTATCGCCGTTATTTGTGTTAGAAAAAGAACATAGTCTTCATCGGCCGTTGTAAATAAAGCTCGACGGGAGCGTTCGCTTATTAATTGTAAAGTTACCAGATTGTTCCGTAATTAAACACCGCACATGTTCCTGCTATTGGTCCGAACGGACAATGCGTTTAATTGGCTCTCGTATCCGTGTACATTGAATGTCCATTGTTACAGGTGCGAGCGGTGCCGGCTCAAGACTACGATGGTGAGTGAACGTGTGCTCAATTAATTGGCTATCTACTAGTTGAAGATACATTATAAGAGAGGCAAAATCTGAGCTCACGGTTTATTTACTTTGCCCACATGTCATTCCCAAACAAAGAAGTCACGCGACAGTCGAACTCTTTATGCTACATAGCATGCATTAATACAACTAAGCTACTGATATAAAGATCGGAAACTATCAGAACCTATCTTTTTACCTTTTTTTATTGATGTTTGCGCTTTCAGTTCGAAAACCATGTAAAGTTTCATCGGGTATAAAGCTCGTGGAAAGGTTATAGCGAGATTGATATTCGTAGAGAGCTTGCTTCTACCTGTAAAGCAAAGTTACACAAATGTGGGCATTAAAGAAAACGTAAAAAAAAAAGTAAAAGGTATCTATTAAGTTCGGAATGCTGCCTCAACTGTTGCGAATTCTCAAACTTTATGCTTAAATAATGCTTGCTTCGTCAGCCTGAAATTCATTTCTTTGCGAGTGTAATTTAAAAGATAACAAAGTTTTTAAGTTTTCGACCCACTTGTACTTTTACTTTAAAGAATTCAAGATGAAAAACAACACTCATATTAAAACTGTTTTCATTTGTGACAAAGTGTCGCGACAATTCCATTTAATGTTAAGAAAAATTGCATTCTGACTGTTGAATCACATTTACAGTTTTTTATTGCTGGCCCACCGCGATAATGTCCGTACCTTAGCTTCACATTAATTAACATTAAGAATGGGCGTTATGATACGCGCATGTTTTTTATGCTCAATTACCACGTTGCTTTCCAAATTATATCTTTCACGTGTTGTTTATACAAATAGAAACTTCACGTCTTGCGTTTCTGATGAGCAACGTTACAAACGTTATAAACTGATGTCAATATTAAATATTTCGCAGTCGCAAATATTATGGGAGATAACTTCATAAATAATTCTTATTTGGCATTAAAACAGTGCTCCTCAAACTTATTGCGTTTATGAAAAAGTTCTGACCTAAATATACATATAACTTTTAAGGTTTTTCATGGTCCCCCGCTAGTTTTTACTTGTACTTTGCGCAACCCCATTATTACTAATGAATAAAATAAAAAAACTTAATACTATTATTTACAACGGGCCAGTCAGACCATATGTACCCTACTAAAACAATTACATTCGGAAAGTGGGGCTTAAATTAACGAAAGCTGAAGAATTAAACTTCCTTGTACTATGTACTACTCTTCCACTAACAGCTGCATTTTTTCTTTTTTTTTTATGTGATAAAGTGGCAAACGAGCTGGCGGTTCACCTGATGCTAAATGATAACCGCGGCTCTTGGATATTTGCAACGCCCTTAGGGTTGCAGATGCGTTGCCACTTTTAATAAAGTGGGCCCCGGCACCACCTTACTCACTCACCAGACGAAACGCAGAAGTGTAATACTTCTGAGGTCGTGGTACTAACACGGACGGCCCTAACAAGCTACGAATTATCCATTGCAGTGACGGACATCCAGTGTACGTTCGCCAGCGGCGGTTCCGGGCTCCGCGACTCAGTGACGGCCCTGCTGAGGAAGCCCGAAGGCTTCAAGGGGGCGCCCCTGTTCGCGGACGACCGGGCGACGGACCCGCTGGCGGACGCCGTGTGCCAGATCAGGCCGGAACCGGAAGACCCCACGGGCCTCCTCTACAGGCTGCGGATCACGGATTTCACGAAGTGCGGTGTTTTGAAAAGGAATGTGAGTATTGCTAATCATCTGCTGGCTGGCGATAAAATGCCTGCTTCTCTTCTCGCTCAAGAGTTAGGAATAGGAATGTGTGTATCTTTTTTTTAAGTATAGCTATTCAGCGAGGAAAAGCAGCTTATGTTTTCAGTACCGTGCCGCGTCGGTAAGATTTGCTAGGAGATGCTAATTAGGCTAGTATTGTAAGCTGAATTAACAATCATTAAATGATTCGAATATCTATAAATTGTCTAGTAAATTAAGCACAGGCTTGATCTAGCGGCGGGGTCTTCGACCTATAGATTTGACGCAATTGTAAATCTCAAATATTCCTTCACCTATGAAATCACATAAAATGCATAAAACAAAGTATCACTAGGGTATTACTGTGGAGCGTTTATTATCGGCTTAAATCGGATACATTTTATCTTATTAGTTGCAATTGAAACGTTTGAGACTCTTGGTCCTAACAGCAATGAGAAAGCGAATATACTATGGACCTATACTATCGACCGCCCTACATTCTGTGACTAATGCAAACTAGCCTCATGGAAAGCGTTCACTGCTTTAGCATCTACATTAGCTTCTCAGGCCGGAACCGGAAGACCCCACGGGCCTCCTCTACAGGCTGCGGATCACGGATTTCACGAAGTGCGGTGTTTTGAAAAGGAATGTGAGTATTGCTAATCATCTGCTGGCTGGCGATAAAATGCCTGCTTCTCTTCTCGCTCAAGAGTTAGGAATAGGAATGTGTGTATCTTTTTTTTTAAGTATAGCTATTCAGCGAGGAAAAGCAGCTTATGTTTTCAGTACCGTGCCGCGTCGGTAAGATTTGCTAGGAGATGCTAATTAGGCTAGTATTGTAAGCTGAATTAACAATCATTAAATGATTCGAATATCTATAAATTGTCTAGTAAATTAAGCACAGGCTTGATCTAGCGGCGGGGTCTTCGACCTATAGATTTGACGCAATTGTAAATCTCAAATATTCCTTCACCTATGAAATCACATAAAATGCATAAAACAAAGTATCACTAGGGTATTACTGTGGAGCGTTTATTATCGGCTTAAATCGGATACATTTTATCTTATTAGTTGCAATTTGAAACGTTTGAGACTCTTGGTCCTAACAGCAATGAGAAAGCGAATATACTATGGACCTATACTATCGACCGCCCTACATTCTGTGACTAATGCAAACTAGCCTCATGGAAAGCGTTCACTGCTTTAGCACCTACATTAGCTTCTCGACTCGATGGGGTCGCAACGTTGTGCTGTTTATCAAAGCAATTGTTTTTGATCCGTTCACATTTACAAAGAGCAGGTGTAGATTTTCGGAGACTTCGTATGTACGAGACCTTTAAAGTCTAAATATATTTACTCGAAATATTTATATATTAAATAGTCAATATATTTCAAAGTTAATATACACTATACACATACATAGTATGTGACTCTTTTTACATGATAGGAAATTAATTTCTATTATTCTATGACACATACTACTATTCTAAGGCTGCATAGTTCTATACTACTAACACTGCCCGTATTTCTTAATGGTTCAGGTGGTCGCTTTGCCAAGTGCCTTTGTATGTGCTGTGGGTTCGGAACCTACACGAGATAAAATTTTATCCATAAACAGTTGCTCCATGTCGGGATGTACTTTGTGGCAGTGATTTTCATGTTTATTACACTTCCAAGCTTCGCACAAGCTTTATTCTTTATTAGTAGAGTCGTTTAAAAAAACTGTACAAATGTATGATTTTTACGTAGGTTTTTTCGTATTTCTAAAAACAAGGGAACGTCGAAAAATGCCATATCATCGCTAGTGAAAAGGTATCGATGTATGTGGAATACGTGTCCGCGATATGTTGTGTCATCGATAGATAATAGGGTATTCCGTTAATATAACAGTATGAAGTGTATGAACGACCTACACCTAACCAGGCATTCAGCTGGTGTATTATTAAGTGGCTGCCGCCGGGACCGGTATTGAAGATAGTGGGTATTGAGGTAAAGAGAAAATTTAATGTCAGCGCAGTAATGTTACAGCGATTAAGTGAAACCTAGCTTATAAATGTTTTAACTAAGAATACGAAAGTGTTTAGACCTATTATTTGTTACAAGTATTTATTACAAGATTTAGATATTACAATGAATAACATTATAAAAATTACAACAGTGTGAATCTCTTCACCGGGACTGCGAAGTGTTGTAAAAAAAGTATTGAAATTAAGAAATATGAAGAATATAAACTATAAAATTGCCATCGGCGTATATACAGCGTGTCGTTACCATCGCGACAATAAATGAACACACGTCTAACGCTACTTGCCAATAACCATAAAAAAATATTAACGTTAAACAATTTTTTTTTAATGTGAAAAGTTGCCAAACGAGCAGGCGGTTCACCTGATGTTAAGTGAATACCGCCGCCCATGGACATCTGCTACACCCGAGGGTTTGCAGATGCGTTGACAACCTTTTTGGAAATTGGGCTCCGGCTACCTCACTCACCAGATGAAACGCGAAAGTATTTGTCATACTTCCACTTTACGCCGGTCTTCTGTGAGGTCGTGGTACTTACCCGGACGAGCCTGCCCATTCGTGCAACAGCCGAGGCTGCTGCGTGGCTCTACCACCGACATCATCAAAATTAAAATCCTATTTTTCAAACAAAATTTGTAACATCCTATACAACTCGCGCCACAGCGTCGCATTAAAAGCCTCTCCTTCTAACAGTATGTTTTGTCTCTTTTAAACTCATTCAACCCATTCATATGCTTTGTGACCTTTACAAATGAACTTTAGGTTACAGTTTTATACGTAAGGGTGTTTTAAAATTGTTTGTTTTGTAAAATTTAATAACTCAGTAAATATTGATGTTTAAAGAATGTAAATGCTTAATACAATTTTAAAAAGTTATCCTCTATATGTGTGTTCATTTATTGTCGCGGTGGTAACGACACGCTGTATATCATCCGATGGCAATTTTTTATATTGTTATTTTTTATAATTTTTATATTGTTAAAAATCTGTTAAGGTCCACGGATATGTCACGTTACGCCAAAGTAATGATTATTTGAGATAATGCTTTCTTCAAACTTCCGAAATGACCGCGTTCCTTCCTTGAATTAACCCACATCTTAGCATTTTATAGCATTTCTCACCTCCGCTAGATAAACGCAACCGGCGTACGGCTATGCGCAATTTCCCTAGCGCTCCCATTTCGATCGCATCAGCCATGTATCGTTTACCAGTTTCGCGCAAAAAAGGGAGGAATGCAAATAATACGCATAAACTGGGGCTCGGCAACTGCCGTTTGCACGGGTCTCGTCGAACGGCCGTTTAAGTTCTCATTTAAGTATACGTCACGTCATCTGCGTTGGCTTGATGTCGCTAACGTTTTGTTGATGTTCGCCGTTTTTGTTGTGTCATTTTCCGTTTTAGTGCTTAGTGTGGTTTAGCGTCGTATCTGTACCTTTGTTTAGGTAGCTCGTTAGGTTTGATCATTTGTTAACACTAACTGTCACATTTCCATGGTTCATTGAAGTACTAACAACTTAACAACTCCGCGAGGTCTGGATATAAATGATGAACACTGACCGTTTCCTTATTCATGTCTTAAAATATGCGAGTGTATGATAACGTTTAGTAATTTTTTTTTTCACACTTATTTCTTTTTTAGCCAGCGTTATCAAGTCAAAACTTAAGCAGAAATTGTTACGGTCACTAGTTAACTAATAAACATATTTTACTTTTGTAAATAAATACAAGAAAAATTCTATGTTCATCACAATTTTTTTGCAGTAAGTAAAGAAAAGTAACAGCCTGTAAACAGCCAGGGTATTAGAGCATAGTCCAGAATGCGACCCTACTGCGGATCGGCGGACGTCACATATCTTCGAAATATTTTTTTATAATTATTTCGAGAATTTGTTTAGAAATTAACTGGGGTAGGACCATGCAACAGAGCTGATGTTGCACGAATGGGCTAGTCCGTCCGGGTAAGTACCACGATCTCACAGAAGACCGGCATAAAGTAGAAGTGTTACACTTCTACGTTTCGTCTGGTGAGTGAGGTAGCCGGGGCTCACTTTATTTATAGGTGGCAAGGCATTGTGCAACCCTAGTCAGACTTAAAATTTAAAACTTTATGGGTGGCCTCACCGGGGATCGAACTCGAGTTGTTCGAATATATTGAATTAAAATCGAACGACCGGTCCGGACAGTTTCATTATCCACCACGCTAATCGATTAGGCGAATTAATTCGATTTTATGTAAACGAGTAGGTAGCGTTCTAGAAAGTTCTTTTTTTGGCAGGGCTTCGTGCATGTGCGCGTATGGTTCCCGCAGTTCCCGGGCGTAGTGATGCAGTCCGACCAGGAGCTGATCATCATGTGCAAGCCACCTGAGCCCACAATCATCGAGAACAAGGCGGCCGGGTTCGCCGGGAGCTTGTAAGTAAATGAATTTTACCAGTACTATAATTATTGATTGCAGTACTGGAAAATTCAAGATTCTATTAGAAAAAAAAAACATGTTTGTTTTACTAACCGCCAAATGTCGACTCGATTGTATAAGAATTTTTTATGAAATGGTGTCTGTATCATGGTTGAAAAACCTACACTTGACTATACTCTATTTGATTCTTATAAGTTAGAAAAGGATGAATATGGTTTTTTATTTCATTTTAAGAGCCATTTAAATCATGGAATTAGGCACCAGATACTGGCGGGTTGCCAGTTGCGCATTAATATGACAAACCAGAATCTGGTGACATGCCAGCCTAGCGGTTGCTACTTTCAGAGAACTCAAAATTTAATATAACCTGACTAATCATTATGGAACAGCTAAGTGCGATCAAAATGTCATTTTTGCTAACTTCAAAGGTTCAACGAAGTTATTTTGTCTTTTTATCTTGCGCAATATTTTATGTGTTCACGATAACTGATGCAACTCAACCTTAATCAAATAGAGAAATGAGAAGCACCAGTGTTCATCGTTCAATAGTAAAATGTCTTATAATTTATGTCAGTACGAGCATACGAGAACAATTAGGAGAGAAATCATTTCAAATTTATTTCAATACAATAATACTGGCCCACTTGCTACACCATTCCTTTAATAGAAAGCAGTATCAGGTACACCGACGGTACTAACTCTGCCCCCACGACACCGGACCTTGTCCTACAATTTTGCATGTTCGAGGCAATCAATTGCTACAAGAGTTATAGCGCATTACAAATCCTATTATTTAATGGGGTCGCCAAATGAACTTTCACTTAGCAGATTAAACATGTTTAATGTGATCTGGGATCCGCAGTAGAAAGATTAAAACAATGTGTATAAAAAAGTCGATGTGTGAGAAGGGAAAGTCTTTGACAGGTCCAGTGAACCCCACATATAATAACCATTAAAAAAGCGTGAAGTAACTAAATCACTATAAATGTAACAATTTCTTATGATTAATGTTTCTAGCGGCAAGTTTAAAAAAAAATTAAGAAAATTGCATCATTCGATTTCGGCGAACGCGCGTGTAATGTTTTTGTTTCAAATAATGACTATATTGATGACTAGCTGTTCCATACGATTTCACTGTGATGTTAAATAGCTTTATAGGGTAGGAATTGCAAAAATTTGCATTTTTCAAATCCGACGCGTTCAAACAAAGTAACAAACTCTTCAGCTTTGTAATATTAGTAGTATAGATATTGTATAACTTAACAGTTAGAGTAAGAAAATATTTTAGTATAAACATTTTTCCCTCGCGTAATTATACCTTTGCGTTTACGTTTGGTCCTCTAGTCCCCATGGGGCACGAGTTTCAGGGGTTGTGGAAGAAACTCCTGGCCGTTTAGAATACGAGGTGGCGTTATACAAGGAAGCACCGCCAGTCTCCCGACACGCAAACCATTCTGTGGACCTGCCCGTTGATCAGGTAACATTATATTATATAATTATTTTAAGTCATAAAATTCTCAACCGCAGGTAATTAAAACATCAATAAAATGCTTACAGTTTTGAGAAATGAAAAGGAATTCGAATAAATTATATCTTCTTCTTCTTCTTTGATTAATGGCCTTTGTTAATAGAATTCTGCCATGTCAGTCATGGGAGTCACACTTATTCATATAAACCTAGTGGTTATATTCTCTTTGCACTTATTAATAAATTACAAATTTCTTCGAATAAATTATATCAATGGCTTTTGCACTAAGCAGAAAAAGAAGCGACACATGTCATAAGCAAAGATTTCAATGAACTTAATACGTACTTAGAAATAAAACTCCACAGAACTAACAAGAAATCCCGTTTCCTTAGCAAAAGTCTTATGCAATCTCTTTTCCTCTTCTCATGGTTAACCAATTGCATCCGGTACGCCGAATTAATATTATTCGTATTAATAGAATTTAGAATAAAAAGCACGCCGACAATAGATCGGGTCCATTCGCACCGATAAGCCATCGTTGTATACAACGCTATCCATACGACACTCGAAGAATGCGCAACGTCCCTATCGGCAAACGCAACTATTATTGAATGCGAGAGTATCGATAACATAAGACCAATGATCGCAGGCCGTCCCTATCGGCACCAAGCTGCAGCTCCGCGCCCGAATCAATCCGGACTCGGCGTGGCGCCACATCAAGCTACTGGAGGTGGCCGTGTCTCCAGACCCCGACCGGCCGCACGCGCCCGGAGCAGTGCTCCTGGTCAAAGACGGGTACGTCTTTGTTTTATCTCCGTTACAGCTTTACGCTTATGGTTGGTAAGTTTTTGAAGTTATCCTTCTTTAGCCGCGTTATGTAAAAATTATGAGAGTGAAATTTTAAGATGCGCGCGCATCATTGTAACATAAATGTAACACCTATGAAGCTACCCGTAAAACCGCTTATTTTTTCATAGATGGCAACATATTCTCAATCAAATTCGCCCGTTACAGTTCTCAATAAATAATGTAGATGGCGCTTTCATAATTCTATTATTTATATCCTTTTCCAGTCTTTTTATTATTTTATTTGCATGCAATTAAAAACTATTTTTTATTGATGCCAAAGAAGTATAACTTCTCACGCGCGTACATAAGTACACTCACCCATTTTTTTCAAAAGTTATACTCCTTTTGTCGCGTTTGAGAAAAATTATGAGGGTGAATTTTTACGTAGAGCGACACCCAAAAGCGACACCAAATAATACCAAGTAACACCACGAGTACCAGGCTGACATCTACCTATAATTCCAAGTTATTTGATTAAACCATTATCAATTGCATTTAATGCCTTTTTTTCCACAAGCACTGGCATTACTGGCACATAAGTAATAATAATTTTAGTTTTTTTTTTATTAGTCATAATAATAATTATTTTTTTATTTTTTTTTGTTACGCTAAAGAAGCGCGTCTTTTTGCCTTCATATTAAGCTTAGACTATATTAAGCTTCCAAATGGCTAGGTTTCCACGAGCTTGATAGACCCTACCTTTGCCTTGAGAGTTAAAGCGGTATGGTGAACAGTCAAAATCTTTCACTTGTGCTTGTTGTCCGTTATGGATTAGAAAATTTAAGAATGAAAAATACAAATAGACTCAATATAAATCAATACTATCCGCAGCACTACAAGACCTCAATTAACTCTTCATTCGCATGAACTAATTTTATTTGGGAGGTGCAGTCTTAAAACCCTTTAATAACACGGACTCGACAAGAAAACAACTCATACATAAGATAGCGCCTGTAACCTTTATTTTTGTTAATAAAGCAAACTTTTAAAGGAACTATTTTCTTGTTCGTAATTGTTTAACCGTTGAATAAATTAGCCAAAGATCTTGTTCACAATTTATTTTAAACACACACTGGACTGGTTATACGTGAGAGAGTAGAAAAACATCTCATAAGTTTCTCATATGATATTACTTATTAACATTTACGACTACACAAGGTACCTATGTACTGAACAGATGTCGAAACCGGGAGTTCGCCTCAATCATACCGCACCAGCCGGCGCGGTATCGCGAACGTCACAACGAAGTGTTCCTTGACTTCGAAGCCTTCCTGTTAGCCTCCATGAAGGAACGCTCCACGCTGTGGATACACTCGCAGATCAAAGCCTGTATGGACGCAGCTGACTGCCAACCAGACTATTGCCTCGATTTGTTCGAACCATCAGGTAAATGATTTTCATTAATTCTAATGTAATCAAAATGTAAGGATTTAGACTATCAGGTAACCGTTTCTGATTTTAATTGTACCTCATGTACAAAAAGTTCGAAGCTAGACTTCAATACACTCGAGACCAGACACAGCGTTCTTCGCGTGCTTTGTTTTATAAATTGAAACTTTATCTCAACGCAGTTAATAAGTAAATATAAAAATTGTTTAAGCAGTTTTTATAGATAATGGTACGGAACCATACGTGTGCGCGTCCGACTCGCACTTGGCTGGTTTTTTTCTTGACCACGTTCATTGCATTCATCTCATTCCTGTTGTGTTTTCAGGCCATGGCCGACGTAGGCGTGCGTTGTCGGAATCCTCCCACAGCCAAAATGTGAGCAGCGCTACTTTGACGTCGGACAATGGATCCACGCCTTTCACGCGGTTCAAAGAGAACCTGGAGTACACTGTGGTGATGCCCGGGGAGCTGTTCCACCGGACGCCGCCAGAGGCCACCTGCGCCACGTCAATGATGCTGGCAGTAGCGCTAGGCGCATTACTCTTTATGTCAGCTTTATTGGTGAGTAACTCAAATGAACTGAAGGACAATGCTCGCTACCCACTCGAATATTTAATGTACCTATATAGTCAGATTGTTGGGCTGTTATGTATGTCTTCGAGCCAAAAGATTCTTCAATTTTGCCATAGTCAACCACGCGACCACACTGCTGCGGATTCGAAATATATTTCTTGTTAGTATTTCGTAAATATACGGGTTCTTCACGATGTTTTCTTTCACCGCAATGTTCCACACATTTGCGAAACTATCCCAACTTTTATACAGTGTAACATGCTTCCTTCCAATTGTGTGATTCTAGTTTAAAATCTATGAAATTTTTTACTTCTGATCATATTAATATCTATAGTCTTTATACGTTATCCATTCTGGTGATCTGTTTTCAGTTATTTTATTTTATACTTCTGTATTAGATATTCACTGCACGTTTATATGAGACAGTTTGAATCAAAATAGCAAGACGAAGAACATCCTTCAATAGCTTTGATTTGCTCTTGTATCTTACAGATGTGTTATCTCGCTACGAAGTTGAATTCGACAATGTTGAAGAACAGCAGTCTTCAGTCGCCGTCGGGCAAGGGATTCGAACAGATCCTAAGGGAATTGGCACACCATTCAATTCCTGATACAGGGTACACGGGCCGCCCCACCGTTCAGTGATGATGAACACTTTTATCATTGTTTCGTGTACAAAATAAATTACACAAATGATATTTATTACGAGGCTAAAATCAATTGATAATTTTTAATAAATTATTAGTTCGCACATAATTATTAGGTACAATAGGAGCACATTTAGGTTACCTAAATTTAAATACTATTGATAAACTATTAGGGTTTAAATTATTATGGAATATTTATGTAGGTTATAGTCTGACCAAATCCGCATTTTTAACAATATAGATACCTGGCATTTCGACTTTTCTACAGTTTCGGTTTATTATTTGTAAACTGAAATTTAATAACAACTACATAGTTTATAAAAAAAGGCAGTATTAACATTTAAGCAGTACATTTTTAAAGTTATATTAATGCTTTAGGAATACTTTAAAACAATAATATAGTAATTCTTTAGAAATATATAAGGTCTTTTAGTTAGAAGCTAAATCAGCAGTATTTTGATAAAAAAATATTAACTATAGATTGGTTATGTACAATTTTTCTGTGAATAAGAAAATCTTGTAAGCAGCTGACTAGCATCCATCAATTATATTTTTGAAAAACCTATCTAAAGCACATCGTTTTCCTATACGTATCTATATATTTTACACATCGTGTAAAAAAGAACCAGCAAACATTGACTTGTCCATTTGAAACACACAATACATAATCTGTGTTTCGTTGTTATAACTATATTTAATATTTATTAATAGTTTAAAGTTATTGTATCAACTAATTTATATTAAGTTTTACTATTTATGAACTTATGACTGAAAAATCGCAAGTTGTTATAGCTACTTTTTCAGTCATGACCATTATAAAAAATAAGCTTTTATGTCTTAATCTATCAGTAGGGATAGATATATTAAACGTAAAATTCAAATGTTAAAGAGTTTCATTTATAACGTACCTTTTTAGTATTAAAATGATTACGTGCTGACTAAGGTAGGACAAGGCACAGCTTTCTGAGCGCAGGCGCTCAAGCTGTACTTATTACTGCATAATTCCGTTCTCCATTCCCTCTGCTTGAGGCAAACATAGCACAGATTTTTTCAACTCACGAGTTTGCATGTATGTTAGAGAGAATATTTTTTTTGGTTGGTAAATCCCGTGATATAATAGATCCCCTCCGCAGAGATGGCCGCATGCCGAGTTGCTCGGCTTAAGTAACAACAATAATGCGGGTAGATCTGCACATTACTTTGCTATTGCAAATGATTTGACACAGCTGTTCACTGGGCCTATGTAGAATCTAAGAATGTATATTCAACTTCACTGTTGGTCCTTCTATTCCGGACTCATCCGGACAACTATCAGGTCTACGTCGACGGCTCCCTAGGCTCGGCAAACCACTATTTGGTTCGGAGCATAGAGCCCATTACGCGCCCACTCAACATGCGCTCTGCAAGTTTCCACCTAGTGGGGCACTGCATTTCAGCCAACTGAGTTGATATGCGATCCTTTTTCGTATCTCATCCCCGAGGTCAGGGTTACTTCTCACTGGATGATCCAAGCCCCATCGCCGACAACTCTACAAGGCGACGTCGACGATATTTCACAGAATTACCGCAAAGAACTGAAGCGTAAGCGGGCTCTTCGAAAGTTGTTTTCGAGAACGCTGGTTTTTGACTCGTTCTATCAGAGCGAGTCAAAAACCACCGTGGTGAGTTGAGGGAGCGACGTATAGATGTCGCAGAAGATCACCTTACGTCGTTACCCTTTCTGAACCGATATTTTTCTAGGACGAAAACATCTGATTGCTCTTCAATACGAACAGATCTACGATGTCGGCTACTCCATACGCTACCAAAGACAGTATCTCTGTGCATAAAATCATTCTCTGCTGGTAGCGTTTTGACAATCAACAAGAAAGTGTAAAGACTCTTGCCCTGAACTTGCAAGTCCCCTGGCTCCTGCTAATTTTATACTTAAATACTTTTGTGTATATACTTATAGATTTCAAAGAAAAAAGAATAATATAAGACAAGAAAATTATAAGACCGCAGAGCTTCTTGCCGGTCTTCTCTGGCAGGTCAAGTTTAGTGAACCTGTGGTAGATTTGAGGTTCAATAAGAGCTAGAAAAAAGCCTATGTTGAATATAGAAATTTTGACTTTAAAAATGCTTCTATATTGAATAAAAATATTTGAATTTGAATTTGATGCATCCATGTTATCGGTGCTGCAAAAGTAATAAAGTATAAGAGTTTTCATTTTGCCTACTTCTGATTACAAGGGCTTTAATCACTTGTAGTATTTTAATTCATTATAAATAATAATTAATCAAATAATTTGTAGTCGACTAAAATCCGACCCACACGTTTACGTTTAATATGACATGTAATGTATAAAATGAATGTTACAGATGATATAGAACGTATGGTACAGAAAGAGGTTGTACCGGTGTAAAGAATTGCAATCTAATGCCGCGTAATTTTATTGCCTCAATTTCAGTGCGCTAGTGTCATATTTACATCGTATTTGTATAATATCATTGTTTATAATATGATGGTTGTCAAAATTGCGAAGCAATCATAATGCAATGTTAATTTATTTGAATAATCTATAGGTGGTATTTAACTTGACAACTATCTCCAATTCTCCATTATACGGAAAACATATAGGTCACTTAATACTATAATAAAATATTATTTTAAAAAGCTTATACAGAAAAATAGGAACCTAAACCATTTTTTATTCAAAGAAATTTTATATCTTGAGATCATCGGGTACTTAGATATAAAATAAAAAAAACTTTTTAGGAATGGAGAATTTTGATTTTGTAATTATATTACTTCAATAACCTCAACTTTACCCCAAAATAAGAGTCAATGTCTAAGCTAACAATATTACGCGGGTAGAAAGTTAATTACGGTTAGAAAAATTATTACGGTTATATTTTTAATTATAGGTAATGTTCTTTTATGTTCCTCGCGATGTTTTCCTTCAACGCTGAAAATAAAATTAATAATTTCATTCGATGATGATCATGATTTGATGAATGGGATTTAAACTCAGGTTGCTCGAGTATATAGCGCCCGCACATTAAACTATCACGTTAAGTTACGGGTCAAATTAAGTCATTTAAATTACGCCTATGTTGGGAGATAACAAAGAGAATGATGTTTTATTAGAGATGACGCGTGTCCATACTGCGGGGCGTTTCAAAGAGAATGTAATCACTACGTTTATGGGGCGTTTAAAAATTGTTCCACTTTACATTGTATGACATATATAAGTGATTGTGACAGATAATAGAACTTAGAGACCGAAAGAGATAACAGTATCTTGTATTAACTGATGTTTTTGCTTTCAGTCCCGAGACTATTAAAGCTTCATCTGACGCAGAACCGGTGGGCTAGCCAGAACCCACGGGTTTGGGCCCTCCGCTGTGGGTAGGGCCGCGCATGTGCTCATGCGTGCGTTTAACCACGACATGTCATCTAAGGGCCATCGAAGTTGCGGTGCGGACCGAGACCCCGATGGCCGTCGACTGTGTTTTTAGCTAATCGGTGGCTGGGGGTGGTGAGAACCGCCCTGGAACGCGGGTGTACCTTGTGTACGCGTTGTGTTGGTCTCGCCGTGCTCGGAGGCGAGGGCGAACTACTGTGTTTGTTGTTGCACTAACTGTGGGTGTAGTGTTATCCGGCGGGACCCCCGGCGGTGGGTCCGGCGTATCTAAGTCCCCTTCCTCGACCGGGTCGATGAGGACGTTTCGCGGGCGACGCTTGTTGACGTTCGCGTTTGTGTCGGGTTGGTAATTTGAGATATGGATAGTATAAAGTACGAATCATCAATTTGTAGTATAAATACCAAAATTATAGTACAAAATGCAACTCTGCATCCGCGACAACACTAGTAATAGACCACTGGTTTTTTTTTTCGTTCATTTTTATCTTTTACAGCTTTGAATAAGTTTAAATGAAATTAACGTTTTTGACACGATTTCCATCTTCAATTTTTTTATATCGATATATCGGCCAAAAATATCGATATATTTAAAACGACATTTTATGGTATCCCTACTAAACAGTCTAAAAACAATAAACATATGCGGACGGTTATGATAATAGTTCCAAAATCTAAATATTTTTAATGAACAAAACTATAAGAACAAAAATTTGGTTTGTCTAAAAACATCAGAAGGCTATTGTTTAATGGCATAATGAGTAAAAGGAAAGAAAATGCAGATGATAGAGGCGAACTTGTGATTTCCAAAAAGTCAAAAAAGTATTGGAGTTTAGCGCTATTGGAATCCATGGAAGATCCAGATTCTATTTATAAGGAGACTGAACGTATTGTTGTTATCCGAGACAAATATCCCAAAGCAAAAATACACTACCTTATGTTGCCTAGGGATAATATTAAAAATATCTATAACTTAGGAAAAGAACATATTCCTCTTTTAGAAGAATTTGGCGAATTATATAAACAGATAAAAGAAGAACATTCAAAGTACGAAATTAATGCTGGTTTCCATGCTGTACCAAGTATGCAGAGACTTCACATGCACATCATCAGTAAAGATATGGTGTCACCATGTTTAAAAACTAAAGTTCATTGGAATAGCTTTACTACAACCTTCTTTAAACCGTACGAAAGTAAGTTTTAATTATTAGAGTAAAAGCTATAGTATATAAATATTATATTTTCTTAAACGTATAATTTTTTTTGATATACAAAGTTTTCCACTGAGTTTTGGTTTCTCAGCTTGCTTGAATGTACCAATTTAAAAATGAGCATGTGAATATTGAGATACTGTGATTCTTAAAGTCTCATGAGTAGATTGTGCAAATTGGACATTAAGCTCATTCAACTCATTCCATTTAACACCATCATTTATAACAACAATAATATGCTATTGACATATTTTAGTTGTTGACTGTATGTAAAATCTTATGGGTATATTTTTATTTAAAATTGTGAAATAATTATAGAGGAATATGTAAATGCAAAACATTTAGCTTCAACATTTGTTTATAGTCTAAAAATGTTAACTTAATGATTAACTAAATAATTGTTAAAATCAGAAGGGATTGCCATACAGCAATTTATGTAAGTATCTATAATTACATCCTATATTTTTGTTTCAGATGTCTTAAAAGAATTAAAAGAAAAGGGCTGTATTACTAAAATAGAAAATGATATACATAAAAATCTAATGTCAACTCCACTAAAGTGTAATCAATGTAATTATGTTCCCAAAAATATGCCACAACTGAAAGACCATTTAGTCAGTCACATTAAATAATTTTTATATAAACAAATATGTTTAAACATTTAGTATGAAAACTAGGTCTTGAGTGCTGTGCAGCAAAAAGGGTAGATTATGTGTATATTTATAGACAATGAATTAATTTAAATCTTCTCCATTTTGATCCCTAAATCATCCATCCATGGACTCTGCTATTCTGACTTAGCCCGATCTTGCCCCTTGAGGGTATGCGTAGGCTATTCCCCGATGTTAACAAAAAAGATTCACAGGAATCTACTTTAATATTCCCCACACCAGTAGGCAATTTGCTATGACTCGAGATCTAGTAGAACCCCAGTCAGAGAAATAACCTTTTTCTTACTGAATTCATTCCTTTTTTTTAGTAATAAAAATTGTTGTACAGGGTTTGAGCTATGATTTTAATTATACTATATATATTGAATTATACTATCACATACCACCACACATTTTTTTTGTCATAACACTTAAAATGTATAATATTTTAAATGACAATATATTAAAAACTAAATTAGATTGCACATGCATTGTCTAATTTTTGGAGATCTATTTTTATGGTTGTATTATTTTTTTAATGGTTTCTAAAAGTATTAATACCCATATTACTTTTTTATATGCACATATGCATCTTTACCATTGTATCATTTCATTCATGATTCCAAGAGATAACAAGTCAATGTTATAAAGTTGAATGATATGTACAATATAGAATAATTACATATCTTTGTCACATTGTTATAAAATTGTTATACATTTTATAGGAGTACCTAATATTAGAAATTGATAAAATATCTCATTTTAAAATCACTACTATCTTTCTACATGTACTGTAGCACTTAAACAATTTGTGCTTTTAATATCATAATAATTTATATGCAGGATTTAGTATTAAGACAGGTCAATACATGAGTACTGAAAATACTACATGAACTCAATTGTGTAACAAGACATTAATAATATTATTACAAATAACAGGGTATGGTTCTTCGATCTGATATCTAATAGTATTTTAGTTGATTTTAATTTTGCACTCAGTGCTTATCAAAAGAATGGAAACAAAAAACAGTTTCATAACTTATTGCAGCAAAATTTGCATCAAATACTTATTTTATGGATACTTAGGATTATACCTATAAAATGGTTATGAACATTTCATACTATTATTCTCAAATATAAAATTTACATAAGCTCTTTTTTCATATCTCAAACAGTCTTAACAAAAATTTTCTTAATTATACAATAACATAGAACGACAAAAAAATTGGCTAAAATTGATAATAGTTATGCTGCAGTTCTTCATTTATTCCACTATATAAACAATGTTACCTAAGATAATAAGTATATAATGCATTTCATATGATAACTTTTACAATTCTTCTTACAGCCTACAATTTTATAATTCTTCTTAGTTTGGGATTTTTTTTAATGTTTTGCGTTTTGATATTAGTTGCAATGTTTTATATTCCAATCTTTATTATTAACTATTGATCGACACATTGTAACTTTTCTCTTTCTTAAATAGATAAATTAAACTTTTTCCTTCATTTATAACCCGTATTTAAAATATTATTTAGGCTATGTATTAAATTCAATGTGGGTGATACAGTTTTCATCTATGTAGAGTTAACAGTTTTATTATATTACCTTAGAATTGAAGTGACATATCCAATATTGATGTGCCGTAGGCTGTTTCCTAATACGTATCATAGCAAATTTGTTCTACATAGTAGTTTACTTGAGCGTGGACTGTCAGAATCTGTTAAAGAGCTTGTTGATGTATTCACATCATCAATATCTGGTGTGTACATGGCTAAGTTTCTTCTTTTAAATATTTTTTTATTTGATGGTGGCGTATTTGTACTTTCTAACACATTATCAAAGCTATCAGACAAAACAGTACAATCAGTTGAACATACTGAATCTGTTTGGGAAATATCGTTGTTTACTGTGGGCGTAACGGGTGCTGGCAAGGATAGCTTGGAGCATTTTAACGGTGTCCTAACTGCTGGACTTCCTTCAGTGCACTGGATTGTGACATTGGATTCTGTTATACAAGGTTGTTTCATAGTCCTGCCTGCCCTCGCCATTACAACTTGTAATGGATCATCTATGCTTAGTTTTTCACATAGCAAAACTGTTTGTGGATTCATTACAGGTTCTAGTGATGCACTTCTTGGTGTGCCTGGTTTGTATGTAGGAGCAGTTTTAACAAATGAGTCATTCGTTATTTCTAATGTCTTCATTATCTCCAGCACATTTTGTTTCTCTTCTTTAGTGGGGCTGAATATATACCTAAAAATTAAAAAAGTGTTTATCACTGTTTATATAATTTCTAAATATATTTTTAACTAAATTTACATAAAATAAAATTGTCTTTTTAGTCTAACTAGTGATTAATTAAGATATTGTAGATCTTTTGTTAAAAAAATATAAATTTATTTTGATATATCACTCAAGCATGTTAAAAATATGGGTAATAGTAGTAAGGTAAAGTTACCAAAATGATAATAGTGTATTAATAAAAATAAAAACCTCTCATTTGTGCCTGGTCCAGGCATATGACAATCAATGTTTTTGACACTCAACAAGTGATTTGTACTTTTCAAAATTGCCAACCATTCAGCATCTTGTTTTAATAGTTTATCACCATCATATGACACAGACAGATCAAGTATTTGTAAATGCCTTCGCTTTGGCAGACATTTGTCAAGAGCTAAAAACTTTGTTTCCTTATTAACTTTATCATGTTTAACAAGAGCAGCAAATTGGCAATGCAAGTGAGCAGCAAACCAATAATCAGGCTTAAGTAAATGTAGAAGTTTTTCAGCTGGTGTGCTGCCTAATTGGTTTGATTCAATATCCTCCCTGAATGAGAAACAAAATGAGAAATTGATTTAAAATGAAAATCTGTAATAGTGAATAATACAGATCAATATATGTTGATATCACCCTAAACACAAATAATTATTTTCAAAATAATTCTCTATTTGTATAAAGAATTACCTGAAAAAAGGCTTTCTTTTCAGTAAATTTTGTTTATCTCCGTAATCAGTAATACCCCTGGGCCAATCATGTGATAACATAACATGTACTTCTTCTTTAAGCTGACTTAGACGAAAAACATCTAAAGCCCTTATGTGATACACTGATCGCAATGAATTTTGTGCATAAGGTGGACTCTCCCAAAGCCCTTGAAGGTAGTCATGACCCTTGAATATTCCTGAAAGGCCTGTTATAAAATAAAAAAATTAATCTAAATGTGGCAAGTTATTTTTTATATGAGCTTCAATATCATAAAGCATAATGAATTTTTTTGATAAGATTTTGTTTGTCCTTAAGACATATGCAATATATTATATTCCACATGGAAAGGCCCATGTATAAATTACACCAAAAAATATTAAAGCCAACTTTAATACACACCTCCAATCCTTAAGTTTCCAAAATTTACTACTCCAGCTCTACCTAGATAATAAATATTTGGTGCCACCCAGCCACCATAAGGTAATTCTTGTAAGTAATTAGACGCTTCATGATTTCCTCCAATAAATATGGTAAGAACAGGTGCTTGTTTTTCGCCACTATAGTACCTTTAAATATTTCAAATCATGTGTAAGTAAAATATAATAATAAAAAAGTGTCATCATGAGCAACAAATACAAGTGTCAATTTTGTCAAGGAAATAATGAAAATAGAAACATGTAGTACTAGATGCTTGAATATGGAAAAGAGGTGTGCCAAAATCACACAATTTCCACAGATAATTCCAAAATCTGCAGCTAAGCTTTTATATATATGAAATTAGTGAAATATGCAGTACAATAATATCATAGAGGTTATGACAAAACCCACTTGTAGAAAGTGCAAATGTTTTGATATTTTTCTGGTACAGCCATAGCACGTAAATCATCTATATTTCGCACGGACTGAAAATCACCACAACAAATTAAGAGATCAATATTTATGCCTTCACGTTCTTGTATTGTTTCAATACATTCGTATATTTTTTCTAGCTCTCCGTGGGCACATCCTTCTACAGCAATCTTCATTTTTCTATGTTTGACCAAACTAAATTACTTTATTGATATTTAATTTTCTGTAAAGTCTAATTTAATTTAACACAAAACATTAACCAATGAGTTCAATGACTCTTGGTTGTTGATTCTATGAATTCTTTCTTTGACATAATTAATAACTTGCTCTTGTTTTTTTATTAGTTTAACGGCCCTGGAATCGAGTCCTTTAGTGTTGCCAACAATGTAAGGCCTGATGTTGCCATTCTTTCCGGCTAAGTAGCTAAATAGCCGAATTTTAACTTCTGTAATTTATAGTAGCCTCTACACCAAAATATCGCTATATATATTATATTATAAAGCATAAGTTAAACTGTATTATTTTTGTTCACCTAGTATAAAAACCATAAAAGCTTATTTGGTGGCGTTAACTTTAAATAAAATTGCGAAAAAATATTTAGATTCTGCTTTGTCTGCCAGCAATAATAAGGCGTCAACAAGATTTTCGCCGTCAACTTCATCAATGGCTACTCTGCTAAAACAGTCGCAAGCTTAGTTTGGGATGCGGGAGACGTAAATTTTTCCCATTCTTCACAATAAAGTGTGAAGCTTTATATTTTCCAATATTCCTATAATAAAAAAAAATCCTTCCAAATTACTTCGAACATGCACAGGATCAATTTACAACGAAAGTGACAAAAAATAACTGGAATTTTCCGAACTATTTGTAAAGCCCGATTGACATTGGTTACGAACAGTGGCAGTAGCGAGTACAAGTACAGTGGCCAGTGGTAGGCATCGGACAAGTGGCTGTTTATACTTTTTTTTGTTAACGTGGGCCTACGCATATCCGCCCTCGCGGGGGCAAGAGCGGGGGTGTGTCGGACTCGCACCGACTAAAACCCCCACGATGTTCCACCTAGTCTCGTAACTCCCTTCGCCTTCAGGTAAGGCACGCTGGAACATTCAGTGCGGCTTCTAACACGGCCCATTTTTCATGGCCAACGAACTCCACCGAGTTCGCTGACCAAAGGCCATGGGAGCCAGGGAACCAGAACTAATAAGCAATGAGCCTACCAGCCCCCAACGGTGGATCTGGTCTGTGGCTCCGTCGCTCACCACATTTTGGCCGCGGGGGGTAGGGAGAACGGTGCACCGCAATACCGAAACTACTCTTCCCCCGCACCCCACCACCACTGCATCAGCGGTGCAGCCCCACCGAGTTGCGGAGGATAGGGAGCGCGGCCAAACGCAATACCAACACTCCTCTTCCCCCGTGACTCCTCCTCGGTAGCAGAAGACAGGGAGAGTGGCTCGTCTTATACCACCTTCGACCTGTCCCCTGCACCAGCAGGCATACAGAGTGAGCTCAATGAGCCCACTCGGAGCGGCCTTCTCGGGCCGGCCTTACTCCAGAGGCCGGCCCAATTGGCTGTTTACACTACAGCAAGGCCAGTGACATTTCTAAGTTGATATGGAAGAGCAATGTTAAAAAATACGTGCAATTTTGTTGCCTGTGACCAGCCACTGTACCAATTTGACTGTTTACACAACGGCAAGTGACGAGTCTAGTTACGGGGGGTTAAGCGGGCGCTCGAACGGTGCACTTGCACCAAAAAAAATAAAAAGCGATTGTATTTGGGTCTAGTTGCAAGGCAGCTTGCAAGCCAATTCGACTCGCTACTGTCCGATGGTTTACACCACTGTACTTATCTACTACACTAAACACTTGACCAGTGTAAATCGGGCTTTATAACAAAGACAATCGCCATAGTCATTAATACAAAAATGACAATTTCATTCCATCTTAAATTTGGTAACATAAAAGCCAAAATTCCTCGTATTCCCCGATATTAACCTACAATAAATTTTTTATTCAAATTCCAATATCTTTATTCAACAGGAGGAGCATTGCACTCGCTTATTGATAGTGTAAATACTACCACTTTTATTACAAAACACTATATTAAAAGACTATGTTCATTTGTGAGTTGCTAAATTTATATAGCTTACCTCTGAAGTAGCCTAATAGGCGATCAGATTTAGATTTTTTCATCGCCGATTCTCGTCCTGAGTAGCCTAAATAGCGAAAAATAGCCTAAGTTGACCACACTGTTATTGCATTGCACTGTAGCACAGAGAGCACAAACAAGGACACAGACTAGACTAGATAATTTTTAATACCGATATTATTTTTATGTTTAGTTGTTGTCTCTGCACTCAAGATTAAACTTTAAATTATATATTTTTTTGTAGATAAAGGAACACTTTCGGCACTGCGGGATTCGAACCTGAGCTTTACCAACTAAGCTAAGCGGCCAATGACCTCACGGCGTGAAAATTTTGATATCTATCTACGTTCGTTCTATTCTAATGCATTTTTAGCAATGCTTTGCGCCATCAATTGTGTATCCTTTACAGCATGCAGCACCTTACAAATAATAATTTTTCGCCATTGCTCTTAATTGTTTTAAGATTAATTTTTATTTTTAGTACTAGTCCCTGCACTCAAGATGATACTTTAAATTGTAATTTTTTTTGTAGATCAATGAAGCAAAACTTTAGGCACTGTAGGATTCGAACCTGCGTCAATTATATAACAATAATAATACGACGTATTAAGAGATTCTAACGCGATCTGGTACATGGAGGTATCGTTTATAGGTTTCTAATTGGAGTCTAATTGGAGGTAAGTCTGGCACTTGATGAATTTAAACGAAAAATTAAAAGTAAACTTATGGCTAAAGCCTATTATACTATTGCCGAATATCTTGACGACGCCAATGTGTGGGGTTAATACTGTTGATACTCACGTAGGCTAAAACAAGACTATTTTACCTGTACTTTTATATTGTAAACTGATTTTCTAAAAAAAAGAGCAACTGTTGAGTTTCTTGCCGGTTTCTTCTCAACAGAAACTGCTTTCCGAACCGGTGGTAACTTACGAACGTGTTAATTTCTTGTAAAATTTTGACGTTGCATAAGAACGCGCAAGCGTCTATGTGAATAAAGATATTTTATTATTATTATTATAGTCCTCGCTCTTGGCGTTGAGTGCGCTGAGCCAAATATGTGATTGTTTATGTATGTATTGCGTGCCGCGCTGTCACGTTTTTTGTTGTTATTTTTAGATTGCAATGCAATGTGCAGCGAGAGAGAGACTTTTAGTTCAATTGAAGCATTTTCAACTGATTAGCTAGAATATGCACGAAACAGACAATCACATTTGATTGTCTGTTTCGTGCATATTATTATCTTGTTTGATAACGTCCCAGTGGACGTATAGACGCTTTGTAAGAAACTTTCTATCCTAAATTCATCTCCCTAAACTCTGGCTATGAGATTTTTTTATATACCGTAACGCCTAGATATTTAATCGTGCTTTCTCATAAAAAATCTCTTCCCCACGTGTACAATCACGTCACATGGTGCAATTGTGTGACTGCTATCGCCCTTCCCACTAAAATTATAGTGAACTGAAGTTTTTTTTTTTATGTGAAAAGTTGCCAAGCGAGCAGGCGATTCATCTGATGTTAAGTGAATATCGGTAGTGGTACTTACCCGTGCCAAGGCTGCTGCGTGGCTCTACCACCTATTCACAAAATAATGTTCCTTTTAGTTGGAGCTCAAGTCCGAAGGAGCAAGATGCGCAATTAAAAACTCCCTGTAGAGTCGTAAAGGACGATTTGAGTGTAGGACGATTAGAGTTGTAGTATCAGGGCTGCGTTACCTCTAAAGGGGATTCTCTTAACATAGGAATCGCTAAAAAGTTCAAAGGTTATTAAAAATTATTAATTTCATTCCGTTCCAGGTCAACATCGTATTAATAAGAAACTTAAAAAATCCTTTCCAGACGTATCCTTTTCTGCTTATTCTTTATCCTCTTGATCGTTAGTACTTTCAATGCATTTCTCGGTAGCTGCAGGCCTGAAAAGAAACCATAGTCATTGCACTTTATTTTTTGCTACTTGAAATGTGATACTTTATTTTTTTTTAAAACAGTTGGCAACCTTATACACAGTATACATTTAGCCCGTGGAAAGCGTTCGATGACGATGACGCGAGTTCCATGATTTTTGTTCACCCAAAAAGTGCTCGACACGCCTAAAGAAGTTTTCACTTCAAAAATTGGCTTTCATCAGAATATTAAGAAAGCTTTAGTCACCACCAACAGGGTCTGCTGTTTAAATTAATAGACGTTACAACCTGGTCAACGGACTTAATATCGTTAATAGCGTCCTATCTAAAATAATTAAAAGAAAAATGTGGACGATTACAACTAATTTGAGAATCGAACTGCTTGAAAGCTTTCTCGGTCCTGCACGTCGCATGTTCAACCGTGCGGACAACGGGCCACAACCATACCTCCAATGTTTTGTCCCTTTGCATGCGCCTCAATCTGAATGGCGTGCGCTTCTACGAGAGATGTCCTGCTGCTTTGGGCAAATAATGGGGCAGTGGTATCAACGCTCAATATATAATGCTCAATGTACAGCTGTCGTTGCGGGGATAAATTTATTTTCGCAGTGATGGCAGACGCGGGTAATAGATCCTCGATTAGTTTATGGTATCTTCTTCTTCTATATATTAATACGTGAAGCAAAAACTTTGTACTACTTACACAAACTGATTTGAACGGACCAGTATGAAATTTCCCACACATATAGTTCGTTTTTTTAAATGATGCATAAAAAAATACATAAAAACAATAAAAAAAAAACATTACAGTCTCTACCATGTATATGTAATTGTGGTCGAATTTCGACCAGTAGGCGATCACTAGTTCGTATTAAAGACACTTTTGTTTTTCAAAGTCAAAGTCAAAATGTCTTTATTCAACATAGGCTTATTTTAAGCTCTTATTGAACGTCAAAAACTACCAC